TTTCAAAAGCTGACAACTTGTATGTGTGGTGAAAATCTGTAAGTTTATGTTGCAGCTTTTTGTGATTCTTATTTTTATTTCTAGATTGAAAAGAATGAAAAAAAAAAAATCAAAATTGTTTGTAATATGGTGTGAAATCAGTTCCGTAAGGTTATGTTGGAGCCCTTTTGTGTTTCTTCTTATCTCTAAATCGAAGGAATGGAGTACGTCACTGATAGGGTGACAATTACTTTTTGCATTTCAACCAACGAAAAGAAAGTTTTCATGTGCTTATTATGTTGTTGTCAATCTCATAGTAAAAGGATACTTCTTTTTAACCTATCACTACAAATGTTATATTTTTTTGAGCTCTCGTCATTATGAAGCTCTTTCTGCTTGGTTATTATTTAACCAGTGGTTTTGAGAAAACTAATTTACATTAATTTTTTTTTAATTAAAACCATTTTGGCATCGTTATTGTTAAAATAGTATGATTTATTTTATTGATTTCTGAAGAATTTTGTTGAGGTTTTATTTTTTTTAATAGTAAAATTCTTAATTCTAAGTATATTAAATATATCTAAATTACATTATAACATAATGAATTGAGAATTCCATTTATCTACAAATCATGTTCAACAAGTGAGGACCTCAAAATGCTTTTATATGTGGATTTGAAAATATTGCATGATTTCTTATTTAATTTATTTCGAGAAACATGGAATATGATGCTTGCTCTCTAGATATTATCATAATTTATATATGGATAATGTTAGAAACTTAGTAATCCTTATTTAGTTATAAACTATATTAGTTAATAATAACCCAACTACTATGAAAGATATCTCTAAATCACACGTTTGTTTCGGAGAATGTGCTCTTCTTCCAACTAAGCGATGATGATTTACTCAAATTGTAATGTCCAATATTTTCATCAATTTCGTACCCAAAAAACAAACCATTTTCATTAACTTGTGAAGGTGTTAAGGCCCAATGATATGTGGGATTGGGCCTAAAACTATAACCACTAATGTTGTATGTGTGGTTTTACTGGCTTCTCTTGCACGATAGGATGTGTGGCTTTATCAAGAATGAGGAGCATGAAAAGATAGGAAGTACTTTTGCATGATGGTGGGATCTGTTCTTAAAAAATCAAGTACCAATTTGTGTCTTGGGATATATTTTTAAAGAAACATACCAATTTTGATATAATGTTTGCATGATGTCTTGGAAGGGGCGGCTATGCAATAGTATCTCGCCTAAGCATAAAGAAGACAATTATATATTTTTTATGATAACACAAAAGCCGTATTTTGGCATTGATTTTCAATCTACAGCAAGTTCTACACTCAATAGTTATGTTGAAATGGTTATTTTATGCATATATACTACCTAATTGTGTGTTTAAAGCATCTTAAAGCTCATTTTAAAGAATCTTAATTATAATTAAATGAGAATTGTTCACTTAACTACAATCAAGGTACGATAACCTCTAAATTATTACACATGCTATGTTTGACTTTAATAGCATGAGAAGAGAGGTCATTATTCTGTTTTATGATGGGGGATGCAGCTGCTGAAAATGCTTAAAAACTAAAGATAAAATTTATAGGATTGCAACCTCGTGTCTTCGTATCAATCTAGATGTATATTTTACTTTTGTTGAAGTTTCTGAATTGCTACTAAATGTGGATATAAGGAAAGGTTATGATTTAAGGCAAAGCTTCCTATGCAACGCACGAGAAAGCACATGCTAGTTTAAGTCTATATATCCAAGTACGCAAGCTCATAGTTCAGATTAACATAAAAAGTAGAGAGAACTTAAAATAAAGCACAGTATTTATTAATAAAGGAGTTAACAAAAATAATGATTTGATGTTCGAGTCATGACAAACAATAAATAATTAAATTAACTGAGCATGTACTTGAGAAATATATCTGCTATCTTTCTGTACTCCCTAAGAGATTTATCACCTGAAAAAAAAAAAAGTTAAATAATTGGGATGACCACTCTTGTCTTAGTAACTCAGAGTTTAACCATACACATACAATCATTACACGCAAGCAATCCATATCAACAACATAAATAAGCTGATGGATTTTTTTCCCCTTATTACTCCGTCAAATTTTATTCCACTAACTAGAACCATAAGCTTATTTACAGTTTGGCCCGCACATCGGACTAACCAAAGCTATTCCAATACTTCATATGTATTTGGTCAAAGATACAAAACCCAAGTTTTGACTATAACTCTCCTCTTTAAAGAACAAAACCAAGAGGCATCACTATTGCACATTCCCTCTCTACAAACTTGGCTAGGTATAAGTATTAAGGAACGAGGTCTAGAAAAGCCAACCACTTTGTGTTAAATGGAGGCAAACCACATGGTCACAGTACATCACATGTATCAATATCATAACCCCCCAGTCCAACTATCTATGCATGCCATGAATATGCAACAAACCAAGCATATGCAAGCGTACTTGAAAAAACACAAATCACCATAAATTTTCACAAAAATAATCGTGACACATTCAAGCTTAAAAGAGAATTCAAATAACGTGGAAGATAGTACAATCCTATCCCTTCACCTTTGCAATCTTATTTATTTATTTGCATCAATTAAGAAAATAAAGTTATATATCAATTATTATCAATATATATTTAGTTACGATAAATAAAGATCTCACACACATAGAAAACCCCCAAGTTACCTAGTTTCATCAAGATCACAAATAGTCCAATAAGAGGGACTGAAAGGGAGGAAAGTTTTTAGCTTTATTTAAAAAATTAGAAAAGCGGGATTGTGAAATTTTGATAAAAAGAAGATATAAGATAAAAGAAAAATAAAACAAACATGTACTATGAATCCAAGAAATGAATTTTTTTAATTAAAATTATTATTTTCAAACTCAAAAAATTAACTTCCTAACTAGTTCTTATATTAAGAATCCTATAAATCCAAGAAATGAATTTTTTTACAACAAGTTGATTTTATTAAAACATTAAAACAAACATAACATAACTACGAATTTTGATCAGTTTGATGATAACACTGAAAATTACGCTTAATAAATAAGATAATTTGAGATAGTTGAAAATGCATCAACAGATTCATAGTAAAAATCTTTGTTATCTTTACTTGTAAGGGTAGTTCGTTCTCACTAGGCTTTTATTTGCTTTCACAATAATTTATTTGGGAAAACTTTGTTTCATACTTGAAATATTTTATTTGAAATGTCCGAAGTTTATAATTCGGCAGAAGTAAAAGCGTTTTGTGCTTTATTAATCTGTTTTTTTTTTTATAAAAGTCAATTTATAAAGTAATAATACCACACATATAAATCACAAATTAATCCTGAATCAGGATTAAATTAGAGGCCTAAAGTTTAAAAACAAAAACATAATGATAAAATACTTCTAGTCTACTTGTCATTGAGTATTTTGTGCTTTATTAATATACTTGTCCTTGAGTATTTGCTTCTAAGTCACTATTCAACTATTATTATTCAACCAAGAGCTATAGATCAACTTTGTTGAATTGATGGTGATGACACCAATTGGTAATACAATGATGTAGTATTCACTTCAGATCAATTATAACGACATCATCATCATCATGTCTAAAAAAATTTTGATATTTTTTTTTAATGTTTTCTTAGAAAATTAATCTTTGATCTTTTAACTCTTAATTTAATTATGACTCAATCTTTTTATTATGATTGATACAACTCAATCCTCAAACTTTTAACTTGGTTAAAACTCAATTCCTGGTTTTTTCCTATTTAATAAATTAATTCTTTTTTTTATATATGTTTATTTTTTAGATCAATATTAGTAACGCAGTTCATTAAATAGAAGTTTTCTTTTCTTTTTTCTTTTTTAAAAAAGGGTTGAATGGCTGGCTACCCTGCTTCCTTCCTTCATATCTTCAATCTTTCTAGAGCTTTTTTGGAAAATTGACTTCTAGCCTAACTAATTTTTGTAACTGAAATTAGAGTAAAAGTTAGTTAGTATAATGCGATTTATGTTTTGATATGTGCTTATAAAAAGTCAGTTGGAAAAGTTAAAAGTTGTTTGGATGATTAAATAGAAAAGTGAGTTTAGTTATAAAATGATTGAAAAGGGTATGGACTTTATTGAATAGTAGTATTTGATATTTTAATTTTTAATATGATAATAGTTAAAAAATACCTAAAATTATTATGATAAAATAAAAATAGGTTATTTGTAAGATTATATAATAAAAATATTTGTCATCGAGAAAAATTTAAAAACACATTATAGATAATTAATTAAATATATATAATGGACAAACATAAATATAAATTAAAGTTTATTTAATCTGAATAAAAGCTCATTATGCTAACGAAGAAAATGAGGCAGGGGAAAATGTGAGGGTAACTTTGGGTTGATGTATTTTTAATACTTATTTTTAATAATTACCATTTGAAATTGCATTTTAAAATGAAAAAAGTCAGATTTTCCCCCGTTAAGTCCAACTGAAGTTGAAGGTCAGAAATTGGTTGAGCTTTTAGCCCATTCAAACGACTATTTAGTCTTAAATAAGTCACAAACTGCAGCTTCACGCTTTTTCATATAATTTTTCTATTCCAAACGGTGACCAAAAAGTAGCCTTTACTCCTCTGATCCTATTTATAAGACACTTTCAGTATGTTTCACACAGACCAAGGAAAACCTTAAACTTTATTAACTCTCATTTAAAATTTAATGACTTTCTAACTTTATCCCTATTTAATATATATTATACCTCATATAAATAAAATCAACATAATAATAATTAAGGAGTAAAATTGTACATCTATAAAAAAAAATTTCTCTTAGTACTCTATAAATAGGATCAAATGATACTTTCTTTCTCCCTTATAAATTATAAGACTCGAGGAGTATTTTTGACAAAGTCCTGAAACGCGGCGTTTCAAACGAAAAACCTAATCCCATTCCATTCTCGTGCAAAGCGCGGGACAACAGATAGAGTAGGGGCGGAGGAAAATGGAAATCGAAAAGCAGAAAGAGAGTGCTGACGTCTGACAGAGAAAGCAAGAAGGCGAGAAAGGGAGGAGCTTGGGAGAAGGGATAGTGCGTGATATAGCCAATGATAGAGATACAGAGAGAGCAAGTGATAAAGGCAGCGATAGAGGAAGGGTGGTAATTTCCAGTCAAGTAGGAATGGAAATTGTAGAATCCACAGCGCCGGTGGCTGAGGAATGTGAGCTCTCATTTCCAAGGGGTGGCCCGGTATATGTTCCGAATCTTGTTGGTCCCTGCACTAGGGTTGCTGAGTTTGAGAATTCTGTCTTCTGTGAACTTGAGGTATTAATCTTCCATTAATCCTTGATGCTTCTATGCCAAATATAGTACGAGAGGTTCTTGTTTCCGCCTCACTCTCTTACGCTTGAAGTGTACTGTTTGGTTTGTTTGTGCAGAATCTAGAGGCAGAGTTGCATCAAGATGCTTCTGACCTTTGTGATGATGATATCTCGTGTGTACACCTCGTGTGCTTTTTTTTTTTGTGTGTTTTTCCAATTGTAATATGTTGTTTTCTCTTTTAGAGGCACTGACTTATGCTGTTTTAGAATTGATGGGCTTAAAGTGTATACGGAAGAGGAGTTAATGAATATGGCTTTGAAGAAAGCATTCCAGGTTACGGAGAACAATGAAAATAATCCTCCAACGTCGGACCAATCTAATGCGGGGTGAGTGAATTTTTTTTTTTTTTTTGTTGATGTTTTTATGTTTGGCCTTATTTGGTGAAAACTGGGCATCTTCGTAGTGTGATCGATGTCCATTTTTGTGCATAGTTGCAAGGCGTCTCAATTGTTTGTTACTTTTTCGTTTTGATGTATCAATTGTATTTTACTTAATATGATTGGTTTTGACAACTTCAATGGAAGAAAGGTAAAAATTAAGTGGTTTGCTTGCCTACTTTCTGGTCTTTCTGAAGCTTCTTTTTGATATGATTCTATGTATTAGTGAACTTACCAGTTAAAATTTTATTCTTGGATCACGGGGTATCTATTTTGAACACCGTATCCTGTCAATACAATTCTCTAACTGATGGATGTACAAAAGAAGTAGTAAATGAACACCAGAATGGTTCTAAATATGGATTTGAGGGAAAATACAGAAATTCGGAATGTGTGTGTGTGTGTGTGTATTCTTTCTTTGCTAATTATACCATTATATTCTTGCTTTGTCATGGCAGAATTTTATTTTGTTCTGTGAGATGTGGTGTGGTGCCACTGAGCCTTCATCCTGGTTATGATAAATGCACAATGTGATTGTGAGTAATGTTATCGTCTTGCAAGCTCAAATCCTTACGAACTTATATGTTTCAACATATTATCCTTCAGGATAGAAGATGACCACAATATGTCAAGCAATGATCATGCTTCTTTAAATACAAATATCTGTGGTACAGGATCAGATGCTCCTACATCATTTGAGCCATCAAATCGATCATCTGGAACTACAGCCAACAGAACTATGACGGGAAAGATCTCAAGGAGAAGAAGAAAAGGAACGAATGCTATATATATTCAAGTATGTTGACTTTCTGAAAACATGCATGATTCCTGGTTACTTTTTGCAGCCTATGGCATCTACCTCTAACCAGTTTAGAAGAAGGAGAAGTTTATTTGATTGTTCATGCTGTCTATTTTTTTTTTCCCGGGTAAATGAAAACTATTTGCCTGAATATACCTACTATATCATTCACTATTAGTTTAATTTTTTCTACATGCTCTCCCATGACGATATCTAATCTCTCTAGCTGGCAGAAAAGAAAAACATAACGGAGGTTGTTGAATTTATGATCATAAGGGTATGAAGTAGTCGAAGCGAATGGGATACGTGTGCCCATACCCCCATAGTAGTCTGTATATTTATTTCCATCTGCAATGTGAATGAATTTGGAGATAGGTTGGGAAGGTAGATTAAACAGTTAGAATCTGGTTTTACATATCTACCCTAGAAGTCTAAGTGTGCCTTCTTTGTTTTGCATGGACAATTGAAGTGTTGAATTTTCCCCTATTATAGCTTGTTCATGAAGCATTACCTAATATACTCGTCAACAGCTTTCTTTTTTCCCTGTCATAATGAATAGGTTTTTACTTTTGTTGAACTTTTTGTGTTTCTTATAACCTATGATTGACCGATTTCCAGGGTGGTTGTACAGAAAAGGTGGATGAAGTTGTAAAAATCAAGCAAAAGCAGGAAGAGGACAAAGTGGCGGTTAGACTTCATTCATTCAAGTATGTTTCACAGATGTTTATGTTTGATTTTTCCACTTCCATATTAAATTCTGACGTTCTCTTGTCTCATGTCTAGTCCTGCTTGCAAGATCAATCAATCTGCCCTCAAATCAGCTAGAACTGAAACGTTGAGATCCCTTAGGTCTACAAGTTCTTCCAAAAAGGTTAGTTTGAGATTCTTCGCTAGTTATCCACTGCACAACAAATTGTTAAGGGTTCATTTTCATAATATATATACTTATATACTTTTATAGATGTTATGCTTTTACATTGTTTTCTAATTCATTTTTTTAATGTTATGGCTTTACAATGTGGATCATAATTCACTCATGATGCTATTACCCGACACTATCATATATCCTTTGTTTTCAATTGCAAGTAAACCAACAGATTTACAAGATGGCAATCTTATGGGAAATAGAATCACCAATACTAACCCTTGAAATTAGCTGTTTGACTTTGTAAAATAATGAACATTGGGACTTTTATTTTTTATTTGATGGGTTATTTTTTATCCTTTTTGTTTACCTATGATTGTGTAATTGAAAAATGGAAAGATTGGAGGAAAAAGAATGCAAAACTAGAGCAAGGCAATCAGTATGTCAGATCAGGCCTAATCTCTGAATTATAGCTCCTTTGTGCCAACACATCAGTGAGTAATCAGAAGATGATTAATTGCTTATCACCCTATCTTAGTCCGTTGAAACAGAATATGAGATACTAATCAGAGAGGAACAGAAGATACTAATATTTCTGTCATTACTGAAAACAGAATAAGAAAAAATTACACCCAATAAAGGAGAAGCCAAGGTCATGTGATCTTAGGCTTCTCCTGTGGGCCACTATATCCCACAAAAGTCAGCAGTGAGTTGTGACAAAAATGACAATGTCATTTGAAATCTATTCATCAGAGGATTCTTGTCTCATGCTATATTTGTGCCTTTCTTTTGTGTGCATATGTGGGAGAGGGGGCTGGGGCTTTACATTGACTCTGGTTTTTCTTTTTCTTAAAATAACTTCTGATGTTTGATATGTTCTTGTCTCTGTCGGGTTAAACATTAAACATGTCTTTAAATTCTATGATTTTATCTTGGAGATGGTGATTTTACAACCAACTGTAAACTTTCCCAAAGTTGAAATCATTCATTTGTGGTGGTAAAATTTTGTGATTTCTAGATGACGACCATGCTGTTATTGTCTACTGAACAGTGATGTTATCTTCTCGTCATCACTTCATTAAATGATTTCACAGGGTCATTGGATTTTCAGAGACTCCTAACTTTATTTCAACCCGTTCTCACAAATATTTGGACTGCTATGAAATATAGTGTTTTCCCCCATCTTTCATGTTATTATTTGTTATTAATTATTCCTTCCTGGTTAATTATTGACAGGTTACGTCAGTGGGTCTTCAGGAACACATACCTGTGCCGTATCCTGAAGTTGTACTCACTGTGGAGGTTTACCATCATGTTCGAAAGTGTGTAAAGGTAGTTTAATGCACTTTTTTATGCCAATGAGGGATGTATCTAACATTTAAGAATTACCTTACGTTACTAATGAAAAACAATGTCTTTTCAATTAGACCCAAGAATTATTGGTTATTGGAGGACAGAATTTAACTGCTTTAAGGGACAAGATCTTTTGCTCAATGGATCAGGTGATGCACAATGCTGGACAGCATGATCCTTCTGGTTATTTTCTCATTGAAGTAAGCTCCTGTGCTTGTTCTTATGGTCAGGGAGGGGTTAAACTTATTTTTAGTTGAATCTGACCGAAAGCCACTTATTGTAGGATGTATTCTACGTTGATAGGAGGGATCCGTCTGCTATTGATTATACCGTACCCATATTTGATTGGCTTAGAAACTCCAAGGGAGAGGCACAAGAAAAATGGGAATGTATAATAACTGGAGAGTTAAGGAAGAAACAGAAAGCAATCATGGGTGAAGCATCTGTCTCACGCTTGCCTCACTTTACATCTATTGACATGCAGAAGATACGCGTTCGTGACATAAGATTCCGACTTGGTGCTGGATTCCTCTACTGTCACCAGGTATTTTCTTAGCTTCATGTTTTCCATGTTTTAATCTCATCAAAGACCTGGACTGCACAATACATGCCTTGCTGAAAAATAAGTTCCATTTTATTCTAAATCTATATTCAATTATATTATACTCTTCCGGTCTTTAATATAAGACCTATTTAACTAATTTGATTAGATTACGGAAGTTAGGTGAGTTAGTTAATTATAAGAAGTATGACATGTTTTTCCCAAAACATCATAGTCACCTTCCTTAATATCCTCCGTCCTTTTTCTATTTAATTATGGTTGATGGAGTATCCATAAGAGTAATTTGGAAAAAAATGCTAAATATGAGAAATAGGTTTTATATTTAGGATCAAAATCAATTCGACAATTAGGTGAAGATCGGAAGAGTAATAATTTTGTTAGAATTATATCTAACTATTATTTTCCCACTTTAATGAAAATAATATGGGTGTTAGAAGCCGTGATCCTCTCCCCCATCTTCTCCCTTGATTTATTCTATTAGTTACCTAGAATATATCCCTGATTTCTTGTGATATTGCATTATTATTATTGATTGTAACCGGATTGCACTCTCCCATCCGGACTCTATATATTGTACTCAGATCATATGGAATAATATACAATGAGTGAATTTACATACTCCACAAATATGGTATCAGAGCACTGGGTTCGGTCTGAACCCAGAAAAGCTTCGTAAACGTCTGTTGTGAGCCAGAGAGAGAGAGACAGCGCGGGGAGAGAGAGAGAGAGAGAGTGAGGCGTCCTCAAACTGATGCAAGAAGAGCTGCGTGGACGACACCACCCCTCCAGTCCTCACCGGCGTCCCTTGATTGGCCAGTCCCCGGAAACCGACGTCGAACGGAGCTGCGCGTGACTCTCACGCGCCGACACAAGCACTGCGCGTGAAGCCCACGCGCCGCCACGCCCCAGTCACTGTTCCAGCGCGTGAAGCCCACGCGCCGCCGCCAGAGATCTCCAGTATCTTCCAGAGACCCAGAAAATGGATGACCTAGAATTTCCACCACTTTTTGGATCTGTTCGCAATATTCCAAGGGCCCTCATGTCCGGTACATCTTCTAATACTCAAACTACTCCTTCTAAAAACTCCACTGCAGAATCAGACTTGACAAGCTACTGAACCTCAAGCTATGGGGGTATCTCACAAACTTAATGGTAGCAACTATCTCCAATGGTCTCAAAGTGTCTTAATGTATCTGCGTGGGAAGCGTAAGGAGAAGTATATCAATGGAGAAGCACAACAACCTTCACATAATGACCCCAAATTTGACACCTGGTTCGCTGAAAATAATCAGGTGATGTCTTGGTTGTGCAATTCAATGACCCTCGAAATCAGTGAAGGATACCTTCTTGCAAGCACAGCCAAGGAAATCTGGGATGCTGCTAAGCGGACCTACTCTACCCTCGACAACACTGCAGCCTTATTAGATCTCAAGAGGCAACTCAAAGATCTGAAGCAAGGCAACTTAGCTGTAACCCAATACTACAGTACTCTGACAAAGATATGGCAGCAATTGGATCTCTTTGAAGTACATCCTTGGAAGGATATAGATGATGCTAATTACTACAGACAGTTGGTGGACAAGGGACGAACATATGAATTTTTGTTGGGCTTGAATGATGTGTTTGAAGAAGTGAGGGGGAGAATTATGGGACTGAAACCTCTGCCATCCCTATTTGAAGTCTTCAGTATGGTTAAGTTCGAAGAAAGCCGAAGACACCTCACCCAAGGTAATCTGACCCCAGCAGAGGGCTCGGCATTGGTGACAAGAGGGTTCCAGACATCAGAGGGGCCTGAGAAGAGAGGGAACAAGTGGTGCAATCATTGTAACAAGAGAGGGCACACCAGAGATGAATGTTGGAAACTACATGGAAAACCAACCCAAGGGAAGCAGAAACGAGAAGATAGAAAGAGCCACCACACCTCATCTGAAGAAAGAGGTGACGATGGAGACCAGTTGACCAGAGAAGAGCTTCAAATGCTTCGTAAGATACTTGAAAAACAAAACAAGTCAAAATCTGTTCCCAACGTGAACTTGATACAGTCAGGTAACTCCATTATAGCCCTTAATGCAATGGTAACTAGTGATGAGACTTGGATTATTGACTCCGGTGCTACCGATCACATGACTGGTAATAAGTCCTTCTTCAAATCCCTCAAATATTGCCATGAGAACCTTAGGGTAAAAGTAGCAACTGGACTATATACGAAAGTTGAGGGTGTTGGCATTGTGGCCCTATCTGAAGATCTGGAAATCCATAATGTTTTGTTTGTCCCTGCTCTTACTTGCAATCTTATTTCTGTGAGCAAATTAACTAAAGGACACGTATGTCGGGTGATCTTTGATGATGTTAAATGTGTTTTTCAGGATTCGACCTCGGGGAGGAAGATTTTGACTGCTAAAGAATGGGATGGACTCTACTACTTTGAAGGAAAGGATATGAAGATAGCAGGAGCAAAGAAAGCTATGGTTAGCTCCAATTCTCAGAATAAAAATGTAATGTTGTGGCATCTAAGATTAGGCCACCCCAGCTTTGATTATATGAAGCATGTGTTTCCAACTTTATTCAATAAAAATTCTTCTCCTTTCCAATGCGAAACGTGCCAAATTGCAAAACAAACTCGCGCCTCTTATCCCAAGCATACTTACAAACCTACTGCCCCGTTCACAATGATCCATACCGACATTTGGGGACCTGCCAAAACCAACACCCGAACAGGCACAAGGTGGTTTATCACATTCATAGATGATCACACCCGGGTCACATGGGTTTACCTTATGAAAGAGAAATCCGAAGCCTTACAAATTTTCAAAAACTTTTGCTCGTTTGTGAGAACCCAATTCCAAACTCCCATCAAAGTTTTGAGAAGTGACAATGCCAAAGAATACGTGAGTGGAGCCTTTAGGGAATTTCTTGAGCAGGAAGGAATCCATCACCAAACCTCATGTGTCTATACCCCCCAACAAAATGGAATTGCTGAGCGAAAGAATAGACATCTTTTGGAAGTAACTCGAGCTATTATGATGGAAAGAAACGTTCCGAATTTGTTTTGGGGAGATGCTGTACTGACCGCAGCTTACCTTATCAATCGCATGGCCTCCAAAATCCTCCATTTCAGTACCCCTATTCAGAAATTCCTCGAGACTTACCCCACCTCACCTATCATCAATTCCATTCCCCAAAAGATCTTTGGGTGTGTTGTCTTTGTTCATAAACATGATGGAGCCAAACTAGGTGCTAGAGCAGAAAAATGCATTTTCCTCGGGTATTCCTCCACCCAAAAAGGGTATAAGTGTTATAGTCCTACTACCAGAAAACTCATCATCTCCAAAGATACCGTCTTTTACGAGGATGACGCTTACTACCCCAAATTACCCATTCAGGGGGAGCACTGTGGAGTAGAATGGCTAATTACACCTGAACCTATAACCACCTCCAACCTACCTCTTAACTCCCTTGAATCTTCCACACCTCAAGAAGAAATCCCCGAACCAGAATCACAAATCCCTAGTCCTACACCTTCTCCAAAACACCAAAACACCACAAACACTCCTCACCCAATGGAAACCAATGCTGAAATTGATGCAGGGGTGACAGAGCACTCAAGTTCTCAATCAGGTAGTAGGGTTCCTTCCATTCCAAGGCAGCAACATGATTCCAATCCGGAGTTGGATCCTGAAGAGCTGGGATGGCCTATTGCACTCAGAAAGGGGGTAAGATCATGTACTCAGCATCCTATTCAAAAATTTGTCTCCTATGGCAATTTATCTGCGCGAATGCAAACCTTTGTAGTGAATAGTTCACAGGTGAAGATTCCAGAAACATTTCAACAGGCTATGACAGATCCTAATTGGAAACATGCTGCATATGAGGAGTTAAGAGCCTTGAAGGAAAACAACACGTGGGATATTACCACACTTCCTAAGGGCAAGAAAGCAGTGGGCTGTAGGTGGATCTTCACCCCTAAATTCAATCCTGATGGAAGCATCAACAAGTACAAAGGAAGATTAGTGGCTAAAGGGTACACTCAAACCTATGGGATTGATTATCAAGAAACGTTTGCTCCTGTGGCAAAATTCAACACCATCCAGGTACTCCTATCCCTTGCTGCTAACCTTGACTGGTCTCTACATCAGCTAGACGTGAAGAATGCTTTCCTAAATGGAGATTTGGAGGAGGAAGTATACATGGAAATTCCAGATGGAGTAATAGCTCCACCCAACTCAGTTTGCAAATTGAAGAAATCATTGTATGGCTTGAAACAGTCTCCACGAGCTTGGTTCGACAGGTTTGCCAAAGCAATCAAAAGGTTTGGTTACATTCAAGGACAGCTGATCACACTCTTTTCGTCAAACACAGTGATGGAAAGGTAACGATCCTAATTGTGTATGTGGATGATATAGTCATAACTGGCAATGATGAGGTTTCTATCTCCCATCTCAAGAAAGCCCTGGCTAGGGAATTCCAAGTGAAGGACCTAGGACAAATGAAGTACTTTCTTGGAATGGAAGTTGCTAGATCCAAAAAGGGTATAAGTGTGTCTCAACGAAAGTACACACTTGACTTACTCCACGAAACAGGAATACTTGGGGCTAAGCCTAGTGAGACTCCTATGGAAGAGTCATGCAATCTGGAAGTGAAACCAGACGGGACACCAGTTAACTCAGAAAGGTACAGAAGACTTGTGGGTAAGCTGATCTACTTGACTCATACAAGGCCTGACATTAGCTATGCAGTTGGAGTGGTAAGCCAATTTATGCATCAACCCCAGGAAGAACACATGGAAGCAGTATACAGAATCCTCACCTACCTCAAACTCAATCCTGGAAGAGGAATATTCTTTCGAAAGGGGAATACAAGGAGTATAGAGGTCTACACTGATGCAGATCATGGGAGAGCTGTGGACAACAGGAGATCCGTCACAGGATACTGCACTTATGTTTGGGGAAACCTAGTCACTTGGCGAAGCAAGAAACAAACAGTAGTCTCAAGGAGCAGTGCTGAAGCTGAGCTAAGAGCTGTAGCCCTCGGGGTATGTGAAGGAATGTGGGTGATTAGACTCCTGAAGGAATTGAGAATTTCCTATGAAGGACCTATGAGTCTCTGGTGTGATAATCAAGCCAGCATTGAAATGACCAAAAATCCTGTGTATCACGACCGAACAAAACATGTTGACATTGATCGGCACTTCATCAAAGAAAAGGTCGAAGATGGCACCATTAACTTGAACTATGTGCGTTCAACTGATCAGATTGTTGACATCATGACCAAGCCGTTAGCCAGAGTCAAGTTTGAAGGGCTTCGGAGCAAGCTGGGAATGGTTGACATTTACTCTCCAGCTTGAGGGGGAGTGTTAGAAGCCGTGATCCTCTCCCCCATCTTCTCCCTTGATTTATTCTATTAGTTACCTAGAATATATCCCTGATTTCTTGTGATATTGCATTATTATTATTGATTGTAACCGGATTGCACTCTCCCATCCGGACTCTATATATTGTACTCAGATCATATGGAATAATATACAATGAGTGAATTTACATACTCCACAAATAATGGGGAAATTTGTTCCCCTCCTTCTTGGCCAAAATGTGGGGAAATTTCTTTAATGCAAGAGTGGGAGGACACTTGATAAGCATTGACAAGATTTTTTGTTCTGTAGATATTAAACAGATGACAATATTTAATGGCCAAGGCATGGGACCATCGATGCTTATTGTTTGGAAAAGAGACGCCCTTTTATGTGTTAATTCGGTCCCAAATAAGATAATTATTCATGAAGCCATTATTTAATGCCTCAACCTATATTGATTAGCACTTGCTTATATGTGATATAAACTTTTTATACTCCGTGACTTTATGGGGCGTTTGGTTAATGTGAAGGAAAAATGCTCCGTTTCTCTTGAAATTGAAAGAAAAAAACGAAATATGTAAATACATTTATATACATGTTATTTTTATATATTAATAACTGATTTTTCATCCACTAAGTCTCTCTCTCTCTCTCCTTTTTTCTTTTTTTAAATTCTTGCAAATCAATTGAGTTCTAGTTTGGCGAGAAAGCATGGTAATATGTTTATTTGCTTGTAAACTGCAGGGAGACTGCACTCACACACTAGTAATACGAGATATGAGGTTGATTCATCCTGATGATGTGCATAATCGAGCTGCTTATCCAATAGTTACTTTCGAACTAAAGTTGCGTTTTCAGAAATGTAATGTTTGCAAGATATTCAGAGCTACAAAGGTCATTGTGGATGACAAATGGACGCCAAAAAATCCTTGCTATTTTTGTGATGAATGCTTTTCGCTTCTTCACATAGCAGAGGATGGCTCTCTTCATTATTCTGAATTTCTGGAGTATGATTATCATCATGATTAGTTGCCCTCTGCCCTGAACACTGCAGGACGTTTAACTCGTCAACTGCTACATGGGATGTCATGATCATTGCTTGGAATTTCTAAGAGTTCCAGTCATCTGTTTTGCAATTCATAAGAGTTAATGAAATGATTTGTTTTGGTTTGCAAAATCTGAAGCATCTATTCAACTGCACATGGACTGGATGCTTAGAGCCTCTAGTTAAATTCACATGCAGATGGCTTGTCATTTTGGAACCTCTTTTTGTTGCTTTGGAAGCTAACTTTAATAGAGTTCCATGGCAGTGGAAATGATATAGGTGCGTATTTGAATTATCTTGTATAATACTGTCTGGACAAAGCATCTTACTGCAAAAGAAGGAAATCATGCTAGGCCAGAAACTTGTGGATCCTTATTACTGGGGTTTTTGTACTGTGTATACAAGAGAATTTTGTTTAGGAATGACATGTTAATATTTATAGGAGACACTGATCCGTCTGCAATTTTTAATATCATTTTTTATTTTTGTCCTCATTAGTTATTGGCTAGTTTTTTTCTCTCACTATCTCCATAAATATGCATGTTTTTAGAAAATAAGTTGTATTTTTTTATACATTTATTACCTTTAACAAATTTCAATCAATTTTTTATCAATGTAATTTGGGTATTTGCATCTTGTTAAAAGCACTGGGGAGAATAATATATGAAGAATTCAATAAAAGCCATAGTGATGATGCAAGCAACGGCACAACACTAATGTTCGATGAATGACTTCTACTGCTTTGTCTTCACTTGACGGATGATTTTGAGTTGAAAAGGAATGAACATTAGGCATCATATGCTTCAACGACAAGGTCACTATAAAAGCAGCTTATGCAAATAAGTTTGTTGCTTTTGGGCCTGTTTGGCATCATGTTCAAAATCATTTATATACACATTATAAGTTGAGACAAAATTTATTTTATATATTTATATCATATTTTGTAAATTATGATTGAAAAACTATTTATAAGTTATTGTAAATAGTTTTTTTTTTTGGGTCTTTGAAGGTATTATCTTGTCTTCTCATTGGCTTTGTTGCAATAACTGCTTATAAATTTTATCATTTGTCACCATGCATAGTTGACTTCTCTTAAAATCCATCCACGTCTCATTAGCCAACTGCATCCATTTCAACCTTTTGATCCTAAAATGACATGAGCAGCATAACTCAGCTTCTTGGGTTTTGTTGCCAAGCATGACAAGTGAAAAAACATGAAGTACTGTAGCATGGAGATCAGTTACCATAATGTTGCACTTTTAAAAAACGGTATTTATGAAGCCATTTTCCACTTTTTGTTGTCTAATTCATCCTCACCGATTGATTGTTTATAGTAGATTTCGACGGCTCAGATTTAATAGTTATAATATACTATTTATTGTCCTAAATATAAAAACTAATTCGAGATTTAATTTAATTTTAAATATAAGACTATAATACATTTTGTTTTTTTTATATTTATTCATTTTTTTGGCAAAATAGTCTGATAGTAATTGTACATATTAAAGGGGCTTTATTCTAATGCTTATGATTAATAAGAGTATTTTAAGAAAGACAATACGTATATATCACAAATAACTAACTTAACTAATTTTCTTAATATTTGTAAATTAATTATTTAACATTTATATTAAAGAGTAAGGGTAGTATTGTTGATTGTTGAAAATTAATTATGTTTAAATAATAAAAAATGATGAAGGAGGTATTGTTGAAAGAAGTCAGGAGAAGGGGGCAAAAGAGGGATAGATTGGAGAACTTGTCATTGGCTAAATCTTCACTATGATTTTTGTATCGCAAAAAAAAAAAAAAACCTTATTACTTTTCCTAAATGTGTAATAAGAATATAAAATCCCAAGATTTTATCAAATTACCAAATGGTATTTTTTGGATTTTAAATGTGATTATTAGGTCTCAAACACTCACTGCACTTTAGTCTCCCAAACTCATTTGACATTCAAATGTAATATTCCTCTGATCCTATTTATAGAATAGAGAGAGAAAATTTTTTATCCTATTTATAAGTTATTTTATTAAATTTTTACTATGAATGTATTATATTATCCTTTATTTATCATAATGTAGATAGTTACTTTTTTTTAAAAGTGTATATATTAAATAGGGGTAAAGTTGGAAAGTTACTATATTTTAATGAAGAGTTAATGCAGTTTAAGATTTTTTTTTGCCTGTGTAAAATATATTAGAAGTGTTTTATAAATAAGACAAGAGGAGTAAGTGTTATTTTTAGATCACTTGAATGGATGACTGTCAAGTGCCAACAAAAGTTAGTTTAATTTCCAATAATTTGGTCTTTGATAGTTTAAAATCTGTTATTAATACGCCTAACGAGAAACGAACGCAAGCCTTGGCCTTGGACCTTGGTGAATGGACGGCTATGGTTGCGTCTGAGATTTAACAGCCAGAGGCTATTTCACTTTATTCAAACGACGAGTCGACAACATTTGAAGTTTTTACGGGGAAGCTAAGCACTAGGAAATAGGGAAGTCAGAGGTTCTGGGTGAAGCAGGGGGCCTCCAATGTTGCTGAGTGGTGGCTCTCGCATTTCGCATCATCTCCGAGAATGCGACCTCCATTTCCACTTAAGCTGCAGATTTCGTTTCTACAGTTCCCAAATTGTTCTGCTTTCCTTTCCATCGCCTCTGAATGCTTCTTGGCCATGTATTGAAAAGCAAACCAGAATGTCTTCTTCTTCTTCTTCTTCGTCGTCGTCGTCATCGTGCTATGCCGGCATCCCGTCTGAGTCTCCTCGAGAAATTCCACCCTTTTTTTACTCTTTCAGGTTCTTTGTTCCTTACTATCAATTTTTTTGGGTTATATTATTCTGTAAAGTTTGTTTGTCGGTACCCCAAAAAAAAAAAAAGGGGCAGGTATTGATTTTTTTTCCTTAATTTTTTGAAATTTGGTATGAACCTGGTTTATGTGAATAAGTTCCCAAGCAACTATGAATTAATCGATGAAAACACAGATTCAACAACTCTCGAGTGACTTGTGCTACTTCCTTATTCTTGACTGTTTATAACCGCATTCACTCTTTCGTGATCCGTGTCTAAATAACCCTCTAGGTAATTTACTTGTAAACTAACTAACCTATTGATTATCTCCTGCGTATTCTATGATACCGAAATAAAAAAAGAAATCCTTGTATCAGTTACTTCCTTCCGAAATATTCGTTGGTCTCGAAGATTAGAGATGAAGAATTCTGATATAGCTGCCGCAGAGACTTTCATGTAGCATCCTCGAGAACAGAATACCTCTAATCAATAAAAATTTGTGAGGGGCTTGTTACTTAGTTTTCACTTAACATTAACCGAATGTAACTCATGAGTAGCCATTGATCCAGCCCCAACTTCGCTGATCATCAATCTCTGGTTGCCCACGTCTTTTTTTTTTTTTTGGGGGGGGGGGGGGAGGGCAGAGAAATAAGCTTCGTTAGATATGAAGGGAGTTACAAGAGAGGAGTGTGGAACAACCTTCTAAGAAACCCAGAAAAAGATGGGAAATTTTGGGGGGCGTCCGGAAAGGGGGGGGGGGGGGGGGGCGCGGTTGGGACGAAGGAAAAAAAAAAACTTTAGAAGATATAGAAGCCCTTTAATCCTTTCTCATATCATTCATAGAGATTGGAAAAAAACACTGCAGTGAAGCATGAGATACAAGTTCATCCCTTTACTATACTAATGAATTTAGGGTTCCCAAAGCATGATTACAATTTTTAGCATTCCTTCCCAATCAAATGCACCTAATCATGGCAAAGACTGTTTACCCATGGTCAGGTGTGTACCTTTCAGAACACCATTAACAAAAGTCCTCCCTTCTCTTTTTGTTCATTTATTGCCTGAGATGGGTGTTTCCTAATAGGCTGATTAATTCCTTGTGTGGGTGGTGCTTAGTGAAAGAGGATGAAAATTCAGAGAGAAAAGTATTGGAATGAATCTCAGAATGCATATGCAGCAGAGGGTTTGAACTTTTCTTTGTACTAAAAGTGTCATCTTGTATCAAATTCGCCTCATGATCAGCGCACTCTTTTCTGACCAGGGAAAAGTTACGTTGTCGCAAATAATCAGGAAGAAATACTCTTGGGCTTCAATAATGTCTAGTACAGTTAAAAATTTCAATTATTCACCTGCTATCTATCTTCAAGGGAGACTGTTCTTATATCCAGTAGTTTAGACCTCAGAGCCCTCATATTGCCTGTGTGAATTCGGGAGAGTTATTTGTTTTAAGCTTTTGCATATGTGACTGCTCATCTGTAAGGTTTAAATTGTTGGCCATGAGCTATCTGATTGCTGATCAAGTAATCAATTTACGTGTTCACTGATTTTTTCCATTTTAATTTGTATTGCATGTTATCCTTCCTTTTTTTTCACCTTTTTAATCAAGATTCTGATTCCTTTTGTTTCTGCAAAGCCAACAAGAAGATGATCAGGAAATTATCTCCGATGGATTATCACCAATAGCAGGTTTTTAGCCACTTTCACCGTATTCCTCTTTTGCCATTTCTCCCACACATGTGCATCCTTACAACTAACTCATTTATTTTCTGAACCCCCCCCCCCAATATTTTCTGGACAGTAGAACATGCTGTTCCTTGAAAATTATGTTTTATGATGCTCTTCGATTGGTTTTTTGGGGTTGGGCTCACAGTAATCTTTTCTTACAAGGAAGCATTCCTTTGGACTTTTGTATCGTTTAGTTTAGTATCTGTTCTGTTGCATCTTTTAAATCTTTAGCATTTTCAATTACTGGCCGCTTTGGCTGCATAAGTGATGGTTCTGTTAAACCTTTGTATTCTAAGCTTAAGCAAATATATGCATACTGTGATGCCTATTCACTTTTTACAACAACAGGCTTTATTTCACCATATGGAGTCGACCATATAGGTGGACTTGTTACGACAAGCCTGTTCGTTTGTTAGCCAAGACAAAATTGACATAGCCTTGTTTTTTAATTTCCATTTTTATTTTACTTATGGGATTTTAATTCATAAATTAAAAGAAGAGATGTGACGGTGGATTCATGAACTTAGTATTGATTGTTATGGATTGCGCTTATTGATTTGCTTGAACATTCTCTGTACTTTTAATGTTGTCCAAAGGACCTGGATCTATTAAAATGGCCCTTGTAGTTGGGTCCTCAGCTTTTACCTTTTTTCCTTTCATTTCTCTCTAGAACTAAAAGTTTTGTGTTAGTTAATTACTTAATTACATAAAACTTATAATTCTTGTGACTATTTTGTTCAGATAAAGTCCTTTGGCCCATTATAGTTGTCAATTAAGTGAGTATTTTTGCCTATACGAGATTTGGGGTGGCTACATTACTCTTTTGAGAATAGCTGGAATACGAATACAGTTATATTAAAATTTTGTTGCCCTCCTCCGCCTCCTGACTATATGTCTATATACTACATGTCGTATATAATGCACTATCTCAACAAGATATTTATGAACCTAGCATGATCATTTCCAGGAGGAGTTGTAGCATTGGGAAAGTTTGATGCCTTGCACATTGGTCATCGGGAGCTTGCCATTCAAGCGTCAAGGGCTGGGCCTCCATTTCTTTTATCACTTTCTGGAATGGCTGAAGTACTTGGCTGGGAACAAAGGTTTGATCCAGTGCAACATTCTGCCAATTCAGTTGAAGGGTTTCTTTTACCAGATTATATAACTTGCAAAATAAGATCGTTTCTTCCAGTTGCACAATCTTAATCTTTCAATTTGTAGACATAACTTTGCAATTGAGAACAAGAAAAATTTTCCACATGGACCAGATTAAATATCTTGTTAGCCATTGCTCTGTGTCTGTTAGGAAATGGACCAATGTTTTCATGTTACCTGGCTAAGACTTCCTCTAGCCCATAATATAAGACGTTGATTAGAAGAAAATTGCGATCCAAAATATAAGATGTCAGCATAATTAGTGTATTTTTTCCACTTTCGTCCCTATTAAACATAGGAGAGAGAGGAAAGAGAGATGAGAGATAATAAAAGGGTAACAGTAAAGGCAACTTTATCATTTTTTAGGATAAGATAGGAAAACTTTATCATTTTAGGACAAATATAATGACTAAGCTTCCATTTCTTGGTATGTGAGAAAAATTAACCAACTTCTTATATCATGGACCAGAGGGAGTACTAGCTTTCCAAAATCTGCTCTTGTATGTGGACCATCAAAAACATAATTTCTTGAGAATGTTCTTAATTAGTACTTCTGTGTTTTTAATGATTAGCGGTAGGGAAAAAATATAAGGAACTACCCTCAACTTGGAGTCATCTGCATGGCTTTCCCTTTACCTTGAAATCTTGATAATGAGCTCCTTTGAACTTTCATTTGTATGCGCATATCACCATTCTGTAATAACTCTGTTGAGTCACTCCTGGCATAATAGAACCATGTGGCACCTGGCATGGGAACATTATATGTTTGTTTTCGGGTGGTTATATATGAAAGATATATAATTTGAGTAATCATATGTTTTGAGTTTTGATGAATATCATTTGGGCATAATTTTTTTAGCGATTAAAGTCCTTTCTAAAGAGCTGTTTCCTTTATTCTCATTGTTTATGGTAGTATTTCATGTTTCATAGACATAAATAAGAGACAATGTAGACCATCTTCTTTATTCCTTCCTAAACAGGGCTCCTATAGTTGCCAAATGTGACCGAAAGCGAGTGCTTTCTTCTTGGGCTCCTTATTGCTGTAAAACGGTCCCAAAAGAGTTCCAAGTTGAGTTTTCAAAAGTGAGACATCTCAGCCCTCGTGAATTTGTTGAGAAGTTATCAAGAGAGCTTAGAGTGCGTGGAGTTGTTGCTGGTAAATTACATGCCCACTATGTTTTATTTAATTAACGTAACACCTTTCTCTTCTGCATTTGACGTGGTTACATGCATATTATTTCCTGTACTATGGGGAAAGTCCGCTACTCCAGTAAGCGGTAATTGCATTTGCTGATAGAGTGTGGTTCTAATATGGATCTGTTGATGCCCCAAAAAGAAGGATGTGTTATTCCTTATTTCAATTTCTGGTTCTTTCAAGATTGAAAGAAAGACTTCGATATGATATCTGTAATTTGGAGGGTGCAGTACTTTCTCCAATGTTCAATTAACATATTTTAAATATAAAGAAAGTTTTATTAGCTGGAGAGTGAGTTGCTGGAGAGTAGGATAATACAATACCTTCCCACAAGTCATTTAATGTTGTAGGGGCACTGCAAAAAATTTAGCATTCCTTTCTAAGCAAATAAACCAATTCGTGACAACAACAACCCTGCCATCTTTATTTCTTTGTGAATCTAATAAATCAGTAAGTCCAATTTCCTAGACAATCTGAATGGGACAAAAAGTTCCAATCTCCTCATTCCGAAGTGTTGTAGCCATACTGCAATGCAAGAACAACTGCTGTTTCAGAATTACTCCTATACACAAAGAAGTTGCTAGGGGCAGCGCCTTTGTGGCCATGGAATTTGCGGTACATTAGTATAAGGTTTCTCTGTTGGGAGAAGCAATGAGGAATTCAAAGTAGGACTTGCATTAACATAATCTATCCTAATATTGATGTTGATTGCACACTTCAAATTTAAATGAGGCTAAAGCTTTGCGGTAAAGAGCAGTTTTTGCGGTGTTGTAATGCATATCTATATGAAACTGAGACACCTGTAATGGAGCTTGTGGCAGGTGAGAACTACCGATTTGGGTATAAAGCTGCTGGGGATGCATCAGATTTGGTAAAGCTGTGTGATGAATATGGTATGGAAGCTTACATAATAAAGTCTGTTATGGACAAGTATCAGAACTCCGCAACTTTAAATACCAGCAACCCAAAAGAGAGAGGACAGGTTTCATCTACTCGTGTTCGGCAGGCTCTTGCTGTAGGAGACATGAGGTATGTCTCAGAGCTTCTAGGTCGACCGCACCGTATCGTATTGATGGCCACTGACTCAGAACGATTTAGTGTTGGCGATTACAAGGTATCTGCTTCTAAATCCTGCTTAATGAATCTTGCACCAAAGGAAGGTTTATATGAGAAATGTTATCTTATCCTTGATCAAGAGAATGTAGTGCAGTGTAGAGTAGTCATTGATACCAATTTTGTCCATGTAGAAATGGGTGGCTTAGGCCTGAGTGACAATTTCAGGACTCAACATTTTCAGTTCTTGCAAATTGAATTTGCTGGTTCCAGCTCTTGATTCAGTTAAAAATTTTAGCCTGTATGCTCAGATATGTCATATTTATATCATACTCCCAAAATTCTTGGGATTCAAATGCCTTGTCATGAGGCTGATCAAAGTTGTGGCTTAGTCTTCACTCAGTTCCTTTCACTCTGCATCTATTTGGCATACTCAAATGACGTTTGCTTAGTCAAGCATCAAGTGTGGTTTAACGCCGAAAGGCTTGAAGCGCTCTGAAGATTATATATAATATATATATATATATATTTATTTATATAGAGGCAGCGTCAATCATAAATTCATTGTACTCTGGAGACCACCAAGAAAACAAGGAAGGGAAAAAAACCAAGTAGCTCTAAAATACTCTGTTTGTAGTGAGAATGGGCCAGATTTGATCCTGGGCTTCAATTCTGCTTGCTCATTGGAGGGGAAAAGAGGAAAAATGAAAAAGCTTTACACATTGATCTTCTGTTTTTTCCTTTCATTTTGGTGTAAAATTTCCCGGTGATTGTAGGGTGCAAAATCTTGATGAAATTTTGCATAATTCCCATGAATTTTATATTATGTATAGATAACCAGAGTTCAAAATAATTATGCATAGTCGAATACTATTATTAAAATTTGAATACAAACACAGTCCAAAGTCAAAAATAGGCCTCCAAACAATTTTTTTAAAATAGAAACTGTATATCTATTAATCACAAAAAAGTAAAGTCAAGGTTACAAGTAAAAGATGGGAGCTTCTTTCATCATCATCTATCTCTCGTTAAGAAAGATGGGATGTGATTAAAAAAAAAGCAATAATTCCTTTCTATTTTGTATGATAACTTGACAAGGTGATCGACCATAGAATTGTTTTCTCGATGAGTGTAGTAGACCGGTACCTGCCAATCCTTGCCATGCACTCTGAATCACACTTAAAATGCCTAGTTAGATACTCAAGTGATCAGAGCTTATAAGCTATAGCCATGTTGTCTATTTTAAATTTCGTACATATACATGGGATCTACTTTTGATTTTGACTGAAGCTTATTATTTAATATAAATCATATCTAAATTTTGATACAAAAATAATCGTGTGAATATTGAAGTAATCAATTTTATTATTGTTTCAGTTACATTTTAAAACTCATGCATATTGTTCCGGAGTATCTTAACGTGCGTCTTTAAAATTCAAATCCAAATAATTAAAAAAATTAAAAAAAAGGAGGATGATAATGATTGAATCAAGAGATAAAACCCAATTAAAATATGTCGTTTAGCCTCATATTTTCTTAAATGAAAAAATTTTGGTGAACTCCTTGAATAAAATTCATAAGTCAATTTCAGATAAACTTAAATTGCCAAATTAGTGTTACTTTGATTATAAGAAGAATCCACAGAAACCACCCAAAAAAAAAGTGGAATAACATGAAAACAAGAACCGACGTGGTTTTGCCACGCATTCCCATCTCAAATACTCTTCCCGTCCTAAATATAGGACTCTTTTTATAATACAAATTATATTACAAAAAGAATCTTATATTTAGGACCGAAAAAATATCTTGGTATCGTTAAAGACTCGGATTTGTAGAGAAGATCCCATGTTTCAGGACAAAAAAGAATGATATTCAAAGAAAAGAATCGTAAAAATCATTATTATTTAGAAAGACCCGGAAATTTAAATTAAAATAGAACTTATAAATCGGCTATCGGCAACTCTTAACCGGTCAACTGTTTAAAAAATATTTAAAATATTAATACTTTAATATTTAAAACTTGACTGGGAAAAAAAAAAAGGATATTTAAAAGCCTCTTTCACATATTTACAAGACACCCTCTCATATATGTATGAGTTCATTTACACAATCTTTGTGTTGGTTTTTCAAATGTTACAAATTGACTCACAAGTCAACTTAAATTTACATATCATTCTCTTAAATTTACAAGTGTACCTGAGTATTTTTTTCAAGTCATAAATTTTGAAATTTTGGGCCACATTTAGTCTTGCAGTATAGTTTCGTACTCTTTTAATCCTCTTATATTAAATGCTAATACTATTTCCCTTTTTAATATAAGCTCTCATTTGATTTTTATTTTGATCCTAAATATAAGACCCCAATATATTTTGTCTCTCATATTTAGGCAATTTTTTCCAAGATAGTCCTTCTAATAATTGTAGTTTTAGCTAACACACTTGACTGGTAAGGATATTTTAGGAAAAACAACACCTATTTATTACAAATAATTAACTTAATTCTTTTTTTTAATCTTCTCAAATTAGTCAACTAGCTCTTATAATTAGGATCAGAGATAGTATATGATTAAGATGTTAAATTCTCTCTCAAAAAAAAAAAAGAGAGGAAAATTTACTATGGAGTATTTAAGGAAGGAATGCAATTTCTGAAAAACTTTTATAATAATTGAATAACAAGTATCAGCATATAAAATAACACTTATTTTTTTATGCTTTTGTGACGATTATATACACACACACATTTTTTATGAGATTTTCCGAAAAGGATGGAGAATAAATAAGTGAAGGGGCAGTTATTTTCAACCACACAATAATGAAGAAAAATTCATTATCACTTTGTCTCGTGCCAGTATTTAATTGGCATTTATTATTGTTGTTACTATTATTCCGTATTCCTTTGGGTCACAAAGGTGGATGATTGGGCACGGCTATCAATCTTCGAGCATGAATCTAGGCTCTTGTCATTATCAATGAGATTTGTACCCTGCAATTAGATTATTTTAGTGCTTCATTTATGATAGCAGCCTGCTTTGGATTGAACAATCAATTATACACCTCAATATATTAGTTTTTGTTTCAAAATAAGTACTGGCGTTTTTTTCAATTGGAGGGCATTTTATTTAAAATATTATTGAGTATTAAATATGAATATTTCTATAAAAGATCCAAATATTGATTCATCAAGTGAAAAAAATTAACTCTTTTTAATGGATTCAACTCTTGTCGATGTTGGTAACTCACGTGCATCTCTTCTTATTGCTAAAATCCACCTATTTTTGGCTCCAATCTTGATTTAGCCATCAATTCTTTAAAGAAGCTTCTGATAATAAATTATTATAAATTCATTTTATAAATCATAATTTAATAAAATTTTGTTTCCATAAATTAACGGTATATTAGAGAGAGTAATTGTATATTAGTTCATATTGCATATTCAAAAAGATAATTGCATATTAGCAAAGACCATTTACAAATTATGAAAGCCAATTGCATCTTGATAAAGTTAATTGCAATTAACTCTCATAATGAGCAAGTAGTGTCCACAAATATGTGATTACTTTCCCAAAGATGCAACATGGCTAATGTAAAACTACCTTGTCAAATATACAATATGAATCACCTTCCTAAAGATACAATTAACTTTCATAACGTGAAAACGGCCTCTTGAACTATACAATTACTTTTCCTAAATCAATATGCAATTAGCTTTCCCAAAATATAATCAGCTTCCATAATATGCACGTAGTCTTTCTAAATACGCAATATGAACCAATTGAATTTTCATAATGTGCAACTAGTCTCTTCGAATGTGCAGTATGAATCAATATGCAAACACCTTTTTCAATATGCAATTAGCTTTCATAATAATATAAAGTGAAATTCCGGAATATGTAATTACCTTTTGTAAGAGTAATTTGGCCTTTCTCTTATCACATTTATTTACACTAAAGGACCTCACACATTTCCATAATGTTAGGTCTCATTTTCTAAATAAATTTTTAATTGGGATTTATGACAATTTTTCCTTTAGATTGAGTGCTAAAAATCAAGCTAGGAAAGTAGCTTGAGGGTTAACAGTCTTCTTGTGATTGAATTGGAATAAACTTTACCATGATGAAAATAATATAATGTGATTGAAATGTATAGATATTTTTTTTATGATCTTACAAAGAGTAATATTTAAATAAAACATTCACTGATATACAAATTCAAAATGACATCGTTCAAGAGAAGAAGAAAGCTCTAATATAATCGATATGGTCAAAACTCTTGACTAAATCGATTAAGAAAATGGTTTTACCTGTTTAATGGACCAACCAGTTAACCCGGATAAGGTTGAGGACTATTCATGGCGTGAAAGCAACTTTTCTGTTTTTGGGAATATATTTTCCATTGGCATCCTGTGTTGTTGTATTAACAGCAGGTAGTTACTAAACATGGAAAACGACATGAATTAATGAGACAATGAAAAGAAATTGATTTAATAAAAAACTTGAGAGGAAAAAAAAAAAAATCTGTCGGCAATAGTGACCTGACATGATTCATTGATTCTGAAGTTGAATTAAAAAAAAAAATGCGTGAGAGTCACACCATTTTAATTTTTAAATTTGAATTTATCCTAAAGTTTGGGATAATGTTAAAATTGATGGGGTCAAGTGCTTTTCACCTTTGTCCTGAGTTTTGTCTCTACCTTTATTTTGTAATTATCTTTCAATGATTTCTTATATCGAGCAGTCGTGAGTGGAATATTATTACTGAAAATTTAAATAAATTAAATTTATTTAGACAGTATTTTGTTGGCCATAAAAAAAAGGATTTCTGAAGTTTAGATTATGCTATTTTTTTTTCTAAAATATGAAAATTAAAATCAGTCAAATTAAATTGAGGATCCACTCAATGAAGGTAATCAAATGTAATTTATTAGCGAATAATATATGCAGTAGTTGGGGGGAAACTTGACGTTTTCAAACTTCTACCTCCTCCATTTCTTCTTATTTTCATTTTTTATTTAAGTTTTAACGTATGGATTAAGGAATAATAATCAATGTATGTCGAAATTCTTTGAACTTTTCTAATACATTCTCGATTCAGTTATCTCAGTACTAAATGTTTCTAAGCGCTTATGGAAAGCTACATGAGAGTTGTACATAAATATATAAAACCTAGTATTTTTCTATAAATATAATTTATAAGAAGATAAATGTAAATATTGTGGCTTATTTTTAAAAATTTGAGGATTGCTTCAAATTCACACGTAGTTAATGTCGAAATTTTTTTTTTCTTAACGATCTAATATTTTGTGTATATATATATCAGTGGTTTGATATGAACATTGTCATTTGTCCAAGTCTAAATAAAAAGTTTATTTTATAATTAACATGATTTTTATTGGCAAAGTT